TTTAGGCATTTTGTTTAAACAAGTAAAAAGCAGTGGCAAGCATATTTGTAAACAACTTAATTTTCATTTACTCATGATCATATCACTTCTTATATAATAAAGAATATATGACTCACTCTTAGAACAGACATCCTTTCCCAAGTCATGTTTTAAAAGACATCCTGTTTCACTTGTTTAAAATTAAAAATACCCTTGTGCTTGTTCAATTTTTGTTCTTACACATTCAACTATGTCCTTCATATTTGGCATTTTGATTTATTAGGCAATCTTAGCATTAAAGAGTTTTAGCAAAGCAGTACTAGATTTCAAATGCACTGTGCATGGTGTCTGTGATGAATTAATTCCACTAGAGCACAGAAGTTATCATTATTTAAATGCTAGTTTCTTTCAAAAGTTTTGTATTACGTTCAAGTTTTCAGAATCGAAATTTAGCTGATATTTTGAGGTAAATGTATGTGATTTCTGCATGCAGAGGTTTTCCTCATACTTAACACTTTCTTATATGAATTTGCATAGGAATATTTAAGAATAGTTTAATATTGATCATTTAAAAATAATTAAGAACTATTTAAGGATATATAATAACTTTTTCATTTCATGCTTTGCTTTTGTTTGTCATATTCAAAATCTTTTGGATTCAATGTATATATTTGGTTGATAAATTAAGACACTAGAAGATACTGGACATGAAATGTCTTTTGATGTCACTATAAATAATTTTGTTTAAGAAAAGTTCACAGAAATAGTTAAAGCTTTTTATATGGACTGTTATTTATTCTTAATTTCTCAGGAAGTTATTTTTCCATCCACTTGCTTTAATTTAATGGTCAGATGGCAAAAAAAGGAGATTTAATAATACTAAGGCACAATGATTATAAGATGGAGTGCTCATTTCTGTGGATGAGGAAGTTTGGGAGCAGGCACAGGTTACGTTTCCCTTCTTACCATCCTTGACATATATAGTTCGATCAATAGTCTGTCCACATCTATCTATCTATCTATATACATGTACATACTTATACATATACACACATGCGTAGAGGGTGGAAGAGAAGGAAGGGAAGGAGGTAGGGAAGATGAAAGAGAGACAGAGAGAGGGAGAGAGAGCAAGAGAACCTGAGAGAAAAGAAGTTGAGGAAGCAACGGGACCAAGAGTGTCCCTGGTGGTAGTTGAGATAACACAGTTAACTGTACTGGCCCAGGTCAAGTATCAAACTTTTGAACACTGGAGGGAATACAGAACGGGATATATGCAGGTTTCTGTCATCGCTCTGGCAAATATCTATCTCACATGGTACAGTTTTATACCAATGGAACCTATAACTCTAAAAGGAAAAAATAAAACCAACAAGTCTAGCATTCAGTACTACCCTATCATAAAGTAAGGAGGTCTAATTGAGCTATGTCTTTATATCCTGCTATTTGTACAAATAAAAGACTACATCTTGATGCAAAATAAACACAAAAGCACTGTTGTGACTATAACAGGGAGTCATATACTAATTTATATAATAAGTGGTTGTGCACGCTTTATTCAAGATTATGGCTGCAAGAAATGGCATGAATTGCTGGGTGTGTTTAATGCTGGATTATAGCAATTTGAAACATGTCAAACACATGGCTAATGCCTCATGCTTCACTCATTCTTGCGTAAACCTGCATAGCCACCATCCATTATACCCTTGGTAACAACACAATTCTGCAAGTAAATATTGTTACACTAAGTAACCTTTCAATTCAAGTTGTTTAGGAAGAGAAAATGCAATCTTGTGCAGTCAGTTCCAGTGTCAGTTTAATGTTTCAAAAGGGAAGTGGTGTAGAGAATAAGTATCTATACAGTGACTTGCTTAAAAAAAGGGAAGAAAGAAAAAGGAAAGAAAGGAAAACTTAATGCAAGGAAGAAAAGTAGAACTGTATTGTTTGAGTACAAGATCCGAAGAGTTATATTCTGATGTGTCTGAAAAGTTGTGTATGATGAAAGATTTAAAGCTTTAACTAACAGTTCAGACAAACATTAAGACAGCGACTCCCAATTTCACCTTTCCTTTTAATGATCTGGAATTTATTTTCACTGATTTTTGTAAAATGTTTGTGGTGGGATTGAGAAGAATAAAAAATTTAGTTTGATGTGTGTGGGATCACAAGCACATCCACTTTGAAAGAATATTCTGAATTTGTAATTGTTTAAAATATACTTTAAAAGGTAAACAGCACCTCACATAGCGCAGACATATTTTCTACTGTAGAGAGTAGGTGTGGAGATGTCACTAGGAGAAACTTAGTGAATCCTGTAAGCATCTTCATTATCCTTGAAGATACACCTCCTTTGTAGTGGACCTACTCCAAGCTCTCTTCTTTAGGTGATACGTACATTATAATCATCTGATAACACAGTTGCCCTTCTTTTTGTGTACTAATGTTGGGTCAGATGCTTTTGTTTTGTAGAGAAAAAGGTACTATCACTGTTATTGTTGTCTTAAGCGTGATGTTACTAACTCTTAGATGATTTCACTGAAAATGTGAATCACGGTTTATACTCTAGGGTTTTATAAAGTCAAAAATCCACAAGGTATAATAAAATCCTCTGGATAATAGAAATTGGAAGTTATGTAGGTCTGAGTTTATCAGTGTAATAAAGATTTAAACCCATGCCTCTGCTTGTTGGTTATTCTTAATTATTTGATGGCCTTGATTATAACACAATAATATATTCAGAATTCTTTAATTCATTCAATAGATTCTGACATTAACTACACAACGATTAATATTAAATATTGCATTTGTCTGCTATATTTGAAAATAGAGGGTTTTTTTTTAATTTTTTGTTCTTTGTATTGCAGACTCCATCCAGAGATAAGTATTTCAAATATTTTGGATGAACTAAAAACATGTATATACATGTATTTTCAGTGTTTCTTTTTGAAAATAAAATTTAAATGCAATATGTAGAAGTTATATCTATCTGTTTCTACAGTTAGAGAGGACCCAAATTATAATTTTCATATAAGTAGTAAAGGCAATCAGACCTTTTCTCTGAATATTTTAAACATTGTGCATGTAAAATTTATGCCTAATTTGAATACTTATTAGCTGCCTAATCTCAGAAAAGAGTATAGGCTTTGTTTTTTTTTCTTATAAAATCCATCACTGTGTATCAGTTTTCATTTGTATGATTTTTCTTTGTTAGTGTTCAATAAGATGTTTAACAAAAGCTATTTGTTCATAAGTACATTTGGTTCAAAAGTTGTTTACTGTAGTTCTTACAGTTGCTTCCTTTCTGATGTTGGGTTTTTGTTGTTGCTTTTTTTCTTTTTCTTTTTTATCAGAACAGCTTTAAGTCGTATATATAGTTTTTGTTATCCTAACTTGCTCTGCTAGCCCAGCTACTGGTGGTCTTTTATAAATCAGCAGGTCTTTCTTTCTTTAATTGACTTTTTAGAGTCACAGATAGAATGTAATAACTTAGGGTTTGATGAAAATATCTGTTAAAACTACTATATTATAGCCATTAATTTTTAATAATTATAATATGAGGATGCAAGAAACTCTTTTGGATGGGTATTTGTGTTTGTGAGTGTGTCTATGATCACGTTTTGTAAGGATCTGGGGAAGAAGATTTCTCCATGACACGAAAAGATATTAAGCCTACATTTGCTCTGTAATAAAAGCATTAAGATTTTTTAATGGACCAAAGTCTTAAAATACGACCAAGTTTAAAATAGAGAAATCACATGGCTACAAAAAATTAGATTGAGTGATAACTTTAATGTCCTTCTTTACTTTAGGCTAAGTCCCCTGTCTGTCTAGCATTACTGTTAAAGCCACAGCACAGCCAGGTTGTTTCTGAAATTCTGGCCGTAGAAGTAAAACGGAGAAGTGCATCTAGTAGGTTATAGCCTAGAATTCAGATATCTTTGAGAGCCAAAACTGATCCAAGATGTCCTATGAAATTCTGGTTTGTAAGAGCACATTGGTTCTTTATTTACTGCAAGGATTTCCACTGATCTTGGCAGGACATCTCATTGCTATCCTGAAAGTACAGTATATTTATGCAGTGAAAATGATAAAACATTTATTACTGTAGAGAAGGTAATATGCATAATTTATGCTGTTTTTAGCACAATCATTAGTGATATTCTTGATAGATTTTATTTCCAGCTTTCATATCTAATACATGCCTGGAAAATTAATTTTATATATACTTTCATTTATTTGCCTATGTTAAAATTGAGTTTTAAGTCATCTTCAAGTGAACAGTTTGATTGCTGCTCATGCATAAGCTTAATTACTTCCCAGGAAGGACAGTATTAAATGTTTTAAATGTCAGAAAAATAAATGAATATGAGCTGTTTGATTAAAAAAATAGGCAATATCTGACGTGTTTGCAGCAGGAGCTTTTTCTTAAAATGCCTCCAAGGCAAAATTTTATTTAGTCACAAAAAAAAAAGAAACCCATTATACTATTTATCATTGGTTGATACCATATGATTTGTAACACCCTTACAAAATTTTAATTTTGTATGATTAGCTGTGCATCATTAAACAACATCCTTGCATAAGATGTGCTGTAAAAATCTGACAGAATCAAGATAGTGAATATTTAAAATAAGGCTGTATAGTCATCCATGGTTGTCAAAGGTAGATAATAGGAAACATAGAACAGAGTGTGCAATCGTGCCTTCATTTAAACTGGTTTTATAGGTAGACTTTAAAATGTGGCCGTTCATAAATGCTATTGACCATGCTATATGCATGGTATGTTACTTTGGCTGTTAAATGTAACCACACAAAAACTGCTTATAGAAACCATAATTTCAGTGATTAGTATCTGGATGAAAGCTGAATTTGTATTGCTTTTCTTGGTAAATGACTATTCAAGGCGTTTTTTTTTTTTTTTCCTTCTAAAGATGCTGTCTCTGTAATTGGCAGAGAGGGACATCTTGATAATGGAAGTGTGAAGGTGTAACGTGTGTTAATTGATACTTCTTAATCACTTTTAGGTATTAAGTCATGATGCAGGAATCTGCGACAGAGACAATAAGCAACAGTTCAATGAATCAAAATGGAATGAGCACTCTAAGCAGCCAATTAGATGCTGGCAGCAGAGATGGAAGATCAAGTGGGGACACCAGTTCTGAAGTAAGCACAGTAGAACTGCTGCATCTGCAACAACAGCAGGTAAGTTTTGTTTTCTTCTGTGATTCCTTAAAACAAATGAGCCTTGAATGTTCTTGAATGTGAAAAATGTATTCATAGCAAATTGAGCATGTTGTGTTAAGCTAAAGGATGCTGTGAATTTCTTGTGATTTGGAACACGACTGAAGTATCAGGAAAGATTGGATTTTCATATTAGTTACGTCATAGCAGCACCAGAGTGCCCTTCAGGTGTCAAACTATTAATTAAGTTCGCAGGGGGTGATTTTCGGAAGGTTCTGTAAAGCTTTCTAACAAATATTTTATAGCTTCTGGTTTACTGGCTAACATTGCACTGCAGAACGTGGTACTTCGTTTTCCACCAGAGGGCCACATTACTTGATACTTGCTTCTACAATGAATTTCTTCCAAGTCTAAGCTAAGGTGAAAAGGACCACAAGGACTTTTTCATAACACAGATACTTGCTTGTGATAGCTGTAAATATTAGCTATTAATTAGTAGAAATTGGCTGAGAGATTGTGAACCGTGTAAACACTCTGATCATCTGTGTTGCTTTTCTTGAAAACTCATTCCAAGATATTTTGAATATACATCTTTTGATAACATTGAAGAACACTTTTTTGTTTTCTGCTAGTGGCTCATAGAACGCAGTTCTCTTTAAAACTGGAAAAGTAAACAATTGCCCAGTAAAGGTACATTTTTAAGTAGTCTGATATTCTTTTTAGGTAATAGATTCATTTTTCCCAATTTTGTTTGTCAATGAAATGTTCTTTTCAGCCCAAGAATAGCCACTCCATTCTTCACTGATTCAAGTCTGCAGAAATGGTGACAAGGAACAGAAAGCTTTCAAAGCATATACATATATTGGGCCAGAATGAATATACCTGCTTACAATATGATTATATCTTATTTGCTTTAAAATAAGGATTATTTCTTTAAAATTCTGGATTGCATTCAGACTAAATGTTTAAAAAAAAGTTAAAGCAAATGCCCACATTAGAGTAAAATTTAATAGAATCATTAGTTTAAATAATAACAGTATTTCAAAAGTTATCTTGGAGTATATGTACTGCATAATGTCTTAACCTTTAGGTATTGTTTTTGAGAGTAATCTTTTAAGAGAACTAGACATAACACTTAGAATAGGTTCCCTATTATTTTGGCATTATGTCTCTTTTCACAGATACCGTAATCCTTAGAAAGATAATTTTTATTTGATTTAAAATATTTTTAATCATCATAGGAATTCAGTGTCTACCAGAGTCCCAGGTTTAGCCTGTTTTACAAATTACCTTAAACAAAATGCAGTTTTCAGAACAGCGCTTTTCTCCCTTTCATGTATTTACAGGAAACATCATACCACTGAGTGCTATCAAATTCCTACTGACTCCCCTAACTAAGAGTCCTAAGAATTTATAGCCAGATTCTGTTTTGTGTGAGAATATAGTAGAATGCATGTATAAAAGCAAGGGAAATCAACAAGAGAAAATGAACATTGCAGTTTAGTACTAATAGACAATACGTTCTGAAGGGAGATGCAAAGAAGTAACTTTCTTTTTCTTTAATGCTCTGATCAGATCTTAAAAAGAGAACAGAGTCAAATCATGGCTATGCTTTACAGTACTCTGGAGGCATTTTATGATAAATCTGTAAGGTGTATTTATAAACTGAGTCTGAAGTTTACTTTGTTTTATACAGTTTGTTGGTATAAACCGTAAACAAAAGTAAATACAAAAAGTTATGTCCTTCTGATAACCTAGAAACTTTAGTCATGTACTGCATGTTTGTGGAGTGCCTTCTAGAAATTGATTTAGCACAATGGGTATAGTAGGTGTCTACAAAAGACACTTTAGGAAGTGTCCGCGGGAAGATACGTAATAATTTGATAAATAAACATTTGAAAACCTTTGTAAATGTCTCTTCCCTTGGTTATGTTTTCACTATATTAATATAGGTAGAAAACTTAAGGTTATTGAATTTTTGTCCTTCTGTGAGTATATTTTAGAATGGGACTTTAAGTTCATTAAAGATTGGAATGCTTTTTTTCTAGAAAATTAATGCACATTTTGCATCTAATTCTAACATATTCAGTATGTTTCAGAAAAAATACAAACAGTGGGGAAAATACCAAAACAAATTCTTAAGTGACATAATTTTACAAATTTTTCTTTACTTGGTGTTATTTAAAGGTAAAGTTTTGAACAAAAATATTATTTCTTATAAGTAAAATGGACTAATCATTGTTGTTTGAGGTCTCTAGTTTGGAAGTACAATTTAGGAGGCAGTGAGTGATGTAAGCAAAATAAAATTTTGTTTGTCATGAACTTCTCGCCATGTGGTCTGTT